CTCTACGTAAGCCGGGCGGTAATTACACATAGAAGGGATCGACAAACAGCACCCTCCGCTTATTCGCTCCCACACCCTTGTTGCAAATAACCTCTTTTGTCATGTCTGTTTGCCGTGTGCTTTCCTATGATCGCGAGATGCATGAGGATAAGGCACTAGTTGAGGGCGGAGAAGGATGGACATACTCAGGTGGTCAGTGCATTTTTGAGGGCGAGACCGGCGGCGTTATTGATGTGAATGGGTATGTTCTCGTCGAGCAGGGCCGATGAGACCATTAACATGTACTGCGGCTACATTCGCAGAGCGGGATGGTGAACAAAAGAGAACAGAAAGAGGTGGTTGCAGGGCGTACGTATTGAGTCAAGGGCTACAAGAGCATCATGGTCATAAGCCTAGCCTGAGACGGTGTGGCGAGGTATGCAGTATGCTGATTCCGCCCACCTAGAGCACGAGAATATTAGCCCCCAAGCTTAGAGAAAACAACACAAGATCTACCTAATGTCCAACCATGCGAGTCGAGAAATACCTTGAAGAGCAATGTCTATGAGCTCCGAACAATGGGCAGGTAGGCACTTACCTCAGGCTCCGTCCTCTCTCTGTCATCTCGTCTGATCTTTCCTGCTGCAGCATCAAAGTCCGAGCTTTCATAGCAGAAAGGTGAGCCCAAGTCAAAGAGTTGGAATGTCAATGTAAGGAGTTATAATGGACTTATAAGAAAAGAAGTAGGGAGTTGGTCAAGATTTCAATGCATTTTGCCAGACCGGAGGGGACCAGATAAGGACCGTGAGAGTTTGGCCCACCGTCGGGCCAAACTCTCATGATCGCTCACTCTGCGACTTCCTCACTCCGTGACTTCCCTCTCTCCTTCTGGCTTGGGGTTTCTTTCGCTCAGCTATGACAAGAAACAATGAAGGCAGACACCCTCAGGCTGCACCTGAATGACCGCCTCACAACAGCAGCCAAGCACTCAGAGGAAGAGCGCATAAGGGGAGACCCAGCGAGGGGAGACCCACAAAGTGAGTCATGACTGCCCTGAGTGTACTTCAAATTCCAAAGCTGACTTATGGCGCACACTCCACAGATGCCCCCCCATGCCCCTGAGCAGTTGAGCTTTCACCCTCACGGACACTCGACAACTTCAACGAGTGTACACACAATTCAAGGCTTACAACAGCCCGCACCCGCCTTCGACCTGTGGTCCCCGACAACATGTTCGGCAAAGTCCATACACAGGGTATACAGTATGTAGACACCCCCTTGTTCGTCCTCCTGCTGCACACTGACATCGCGACCCACAGACGAACGACCCGGGCGCATACAGTTCCTGCACCACATTAACGACAGAACGTACAAATTAAAACGTGACGTACCATCGTATGAGGCTGTCCTGGATGGCGACGGTCGATGTGTGGCCGATGTGCAGACTTCCGGTGACATTGGGGGGCAGGGGATAACGCATGCCGTCTCGTGTTGCGGTATGGGTATTTCTTGACACATTATGTGCTGTCTGCTTGTGTGATATATGATCAGTCTCATGTCCATAAGCAGGATGTGATTAGAGCAATCTACGCGCGGCTCATCCCTTACTCGAGATGCTCGAAACACTATCCGCAGCGGTTGCGACCAAGGCTGCCCATCAACCTACTTATCTGCATGCCTTCAAACTCCCTGTGCCGAAGGCCATCATTGCTCATGGCTCCCAAGGTCGCCCAAGCTCTCACTGAACTCGGTATTTCGCACACTCGGCTGGTGATGCCCACAAGAGAGAACAGATTACTGCACGACAGCCTGATAGAAGCAACAACGACCCTCGTGGAAACGAAATGCGTATATGACAAGGGTGAATACGAGATACAGGTACTCAAGAACCGTCTGGGACTACGACCGGCTGAAGGAGCCAAAGGGAAAATTGAAGGTGGTGCTGGGATAGATGTTAATGATGCTCAAGTAGGAAAAGAAGCAGAGGAGACAGAAGGAGAAGATGGAAGGGCCCAAAGTATTCTCAGTGCGAGGAGTGGTGGGAGGAGTAGGAAGCATGTGAGTGATAGGTTTATGCTGATGCTTGTCTCGATCTCGCTGACCTACATCTTGTCTCCCAGGCTAGACGCTCCATGTCTATTTCGTTGGTGGACACTTGCCCAGGAAGAGACTTAGATTGAAGGCTACAAGCATGCACTGTGAATATTCTTATGTCTGCCCAGAGCTCAGCGAATTGGATGCCCAACAAGGCTCAGAACCATTCCACACAACCCATGGCTGCGCTGGCCACCCACCACCTCACTGTTGCATGTGAACACCAGCGAGGTTGACAAAGACAATGTCCCGCTGCTGCGACTCTGGTGTGGCACATTGCGGCGACACGGCGACACACCATGAACGTGAGCCCAACGACAAGCAAATGGGCATCCGAGCTGCCACTATTGTTTGTGCACCCGGACCCCACCGTCGCCCAGTTGCCCTCCACCTTGCACTCAATGGCATTGCCGTCATTTACATGCCACGACTCAACACCCTACCGTTTCGTGTATAGGACAACACGCGTACAGCCCACAAGGACAAACTCGTACCGCAGACTGCATTGAGTGCTCCACCCTCGCAACTGTTCATCGCGACGTCATTTGACGCTCAGCGATGCTCTTGCGAGGCAACCTGCCTTATGTACATACCAATTTAACACCGCTTCATTGTCAACCCGCATGATGAACCCGGCCATGGGTAAGGGTATGGGTAGCCCCCAAAGTACCCAGCGGTTACCCGGTGCGCCATTCTCTATCTAAGACTGTGCCCAACGCATATATGGAAGCATATCTGCTTGTTTAGTGTAAAAGGTATTGATTCCCTGTCATTTTTTACACATTCTAATGCTGTTTTTCTCTCAGTACGCATGCTCTGTAGCAAACATTTACCTGGAAGACTAGGTGTTGTCTCTGCCACCCATGACAGAGCTATTGCAACGTTGCACAAAAACAAGGAGAACTGCTTCAACAGAGACAAAGAGTGTCTGGAGACCGAGCTTGGACGTCAAGCAAAGCCTGGGAGGCTGTCATGGTAGAGACCATTTTAGATTCTTACTACTTGCCCTATTATGCTGACTAATCATCATGATATTCATATACCCTGACATACAGAACGTATGATCAATACACGTCGTACCCTTCCACTGCCTTCCATGAGCTACTTCTGCCCTGCGTCCTGCAACCGTCGCTTCAAGTCACTGGCAAATCTTCATGCCCATCTCGCGCGAGCTCCACGATGCATGTGGTTCATGGAGGAGACTCTTGATGCCCTTGATGAGGATCCAACTGACTCATTAGAGCAGGAGGACATTCCTTCAGCTCCAGTAGATCCATGGGCGGAGTATGACCCTCTTGATGACCCAGACCTTGACTTCAGCTATCTTGAGGAAGCTCTCAATGAATTCCACTTTATCCCGGAAATTCAGCCCATCGGCGCTCAGGGCCCCGGCCCTCAGACTGCAGCCAACAGAGCCAAGGCTGCAAGATTTGTCCTTGATGACCTGGATGACAAACGGGTCACTGATATTGACCTCTTAGCTGGCAGAATTGTTCGAAAGGCTCAACCCTCAAGCCAACAAGCAGATAAAGACGGCGACATTCAGATGTCTGACCCTTCAAATGCGCCAGACCCGCAATTTCTACCTTTTACCTCAGAGCTTGATTGGAGGATTGCGCAGTGGGCTGTTCGGGACGGCCCAGGCAACAATGCCTTCGACAGGTTGCTAGCTATTCCCAGGGTGAGGATATTTTCACTCTATGTACGTCTTCACCTTCTGAAGCACCCTTAGGTTGTCGACAAGCTAGGACTTTCATATCGCAACATCCGCGCACTACATAAGAAACTAGATTCTATGCCTGATAAGGCTGGCGAGTGGCAAACCAAGCATCTACGATTTAAGGATAGGCCTGACGAAACCTTTACCATCCGTCATCGAGATCCTGTAGAAGCAATCAAGAGCCTTTGGAAGGACCCAGAGCTGTCGCCAGAAATGATCTTTCAACCATGCAAGACATATACCGACGACACTCGAGAGGATCAAATATTTTCTGAAATGTGGACTGGCCGTTGGTGGAATGCGGTGCAGGTATGTTCTCTTTGCGTTATGCCCTAATTTTTTTTTGACATTCTTCAAGAGCAAGCTACCTGAGGGGGGGACGCTGGCACCCGTTATCGTCTCAACTGATAAAACTCAACTCACTCAATTTACGGGAGGAAAGTCTGCCTATCCTGTCTATCTTACAATCGGCAACATACCAAAAGCTACAAGATGAAAACCTTCAAAGCATGCTTGTGTGCTTATTGCATACCTCTCTGTCGACAAGCTTGACCGCACAAGACTTTCAGAACAAGACCATCGCTCAAAGGTCCAGCGCATCTTCCACGAATCCATGCCAATCGTTCTTGAACCTCTTATCAATGCTGGTCAGACAGGCGTCCTCATGGATAGCTCAAATGGGGACACTCGAAGGGTCTTCCCCATTCTTTCCTGTTACGTGGCGGATTACCCTGAGCAGTGCCTTGTCACCTGCTCGAAATACGGCACCTGCTGCAAGTGCAAGGCAAAAGCGATGGAGCTCCAGGACCCAGAACCAGCAGAAGCACGTACCCCAGCATGGACAAAGTCTGTTATGGAAGAAGCCAAGTCCCAAGCTGGAGGGAATCCACAAGCCTTTCACACACATTGCATGGCCTTGGACATTGCTGGAGGGGTTTTCCGACCCTTCTGGGATGGTTTCCCCCTTTGCAATATCAATCGCGCCATTACTCCTGATGTTCTACACCAGCTCTACCAGGGTGTCTTCAAGCATCTTGTCTCTTGGTGCCAACTTATCCTTCCTAAGGGCGAGCTCGACAGACGCATTCGCTGCCTTCCTCCCTCATTTGGGGTCCGCCATTTCAAAAATGGAATATCTGCTTTATCTCAGATCTCTGGCTCAGAACGCAAGAATATGGCGAAGATTCTACTAGCTTGTCTTGTTGGTAGTATCCCTTCAGCTGTGACCAAGGCCATCACAGCTCTTCTTGACTTCATATACATTGCTCAGTACCCGACACACAACAACTCCACTTTAGAATACCTGCAAAACGCCATCGAAGAATTTCATGAACATCGCGACTATTTCATTCAACTAGGCCTTCGAAAAGATTTCAACATTCCTAAGTTCCACTCTCTTCTTCACTACATAGACACTATCAAGGATTTCGGAACAACAGACAACTACAACACTGAAATGTTTGAAAGGCTCCACATCGATTTTGCAAAGCATGGCTGGCAGGCGACCAATCTTTGCGATGAATTTCCCCAGATGATTCGCTGGCTCGCGTGTCAGGAGAAAGTTGCTGGTTTTGAATCTCTGCTTAAATCTGCTGGAACTCCTATTGCACCTGTCAAACCACACAACCAACGTCCAAAAACAATCGCAAAATATCCAAACTTTCCTGGTCGTTCTTTGTCAGACGTTCAACAGAAACATCATGCACCCTCCTTTGACCACCACCTCAGGATTTATCTGAACGCAAAATCCCCTGACAGACTTTCTGCTAGAAACCTAACAGACACTGCACTTCCATTTAGTAAGGTTAACGTCTACAATATGTTTCATTTTGCTCCTTCTAGTCTTCATGATGATGATGACAAGAAAGATGTGATCAAGGCTATTGGCTCCTCTTCTAACATGCCAAATGGACAGTTTGACACTGTGGTTGTTATTGTCAGCAAGACGGCACATGCCACTGGTATCAAAGGTAAGCGCAGCCTTGTTAGATGTTGTATTAGGGACAGGCTTCTAATATCTATATTCCAGGCACAAGAGTTGGACGACTGCGGGTCATATTTACTCTTCCCCAGAAGTTTGACACAAGACTAGGCCCAAAAGAGCTGCCTTCCTACTGGCCTACAGAACCTCTTGCCTATGTGGAATGGTACAGCCCACAGGCTGCCAATGCCTCTGCTGCCAACGGCATGATGTATCGCATTAAGAAGCTTGAACCTGACACTGCAGGCCACATTCCAGGTGCTGTTGTTCCTCTTAGTCATATCCGTCAGAGCTGTATGCTCTCTCCACTATTTCCTAACGTGACGCCTTCTGAATGGACCTCAGATAATGTACTGGATAAATCCTTGGTATTTTTAGTTAATAATTGGTCAAGTAAGTATGCGTATCAAACTATATGGTAGTAGAAATATGTTCCTAGCCATCTAATAGCTTAATCACAGTTCTTAATTCATGATTTTGGAGATACTGTTGGTGGGAGGATATCAGACCTCCCCAGAGCTTCCTCAGAGAGCTCAGAGGACTTTGTAAGTACCGCTGATCTCTGAAGTGATGCCAAGGCAGCGTTGCTGCTTCAGGATTGTGGCAGTGCGCTCAGGTAATGTGAGATCAAAAGTCATTTTCCTGATGTAGCCTATGCCATCGCCCCATTGCCTCCACCGTTGCCCTCTGCCTAGCCAACAAGCCGAACGATGGATGGAGGGGCTGAACAGGCAGGCAGAGGGGCAGAGGCGACACAACGACGGGCACAGGAGGGGGGAAGAGGGGTGAACGAACGAGCAGCGGAGGGTCGAACGACCCCAACAACAAACGGGGGGGCGGAGGATGCCCAAACAGGCAGAGGAGGGGGAAGAGGGGCGAATGGTCCCCAACGAACTGCAGAGGGCTGAATGACCCCCCAACAAGCAGAGGAGGGCCAAATGGCCCTCAATGACAAGAGGAGGAGGAGCAGAGGATGCCCCAATGGGCTGAGGGAGGGGAAGAGGGGAAAACAGCCCCAAACGAGCAGCAGAGGGCCAAATGACCCCCAACAAGCAACAGAGGGGCGACCGAACCCCCAACAAGCAGAGGAGGGGCAGGGGTAACTTGCTGAGCAGAGTGGGGGTTTGTTCGAGGGTGGAACAACCCCAACGATGAGCAGAGGGTGGCTCATTTTCTCTTTATTTCACAGCAGGTGGCTGGTAGAGCCACCTGCACCATGTATATATTCTATTACAATTTAATATGATTTTTTTTCCTAATTTTTTTGGTGTGCTGAGATACCCCTGAGCTCGCCGGAGGTCGTAACAGACGACGGTGAGAACATTATAATGGATGTGTCATGGTAATTACATCATGACCTAAAAATAGTTCCCAGGCCCCGAAAAAAGGCCGCATCATCCAAACACACCTGACCCAATCCACCCAATCCCACCCCCCGACAATGGGGGAAATGGTGCACAATGATGAGGAAATATGTTTACTCATTGTTGGTGCCTTTTCCCCATTGAAAACGGTGGCAGGAACACTGAAAACGATGAGGAACAATGCTCGGGCATTGTTTCCTGTGTTGTTTGCTCGTGTTGACAGGTCCCACCCACAGCATGGAGCCCTGGCATGCACAGCAACGGCCTCTCCATGGGTGGACTGTATAATCACAGTCCTGACATGTGAGTATACCCTGTTTAAATACAGTATGTGATACATTTACGTGGCTTATAGAAGTGGGATGTGACCAGCAGGTATTTAAGGCCGGCAAGTATTGTCCGTCTTGTGTCGCACGAGATATTTACTCCCATCTTCGTGAGACTTTGAAGTAGCTCACATCTCAGAAACAGCTCACTGGGAGACAAACGCTGCAAGGAGGGAAAACAAAGGCTAAAAGTCAACGACTAGGCACCTGGGTCAAAGTAAGATTCCCATTGCCCATTTGACCTAGAATTATATTGACACTTTCGAAACGAAGTTGGCTGCAACATGACTGATTAAACTTTGGATTGAACCTTTATACTTGACCTTGCTGCTACGCGCTTTGTATTGATCTTGTGCATATGACATGGAGTTAATAAGGTTAGAACAGCGGAAGGACATGGTCTTAAGTCAGAGCTGAATTCAAACCATGCCGCCACATGTGCAGCCTTCTCCCTAGCATTTGCTGACCCTTTCCCTTGGCAGTCCCAATGGAGATAACTCGATGATGAACAATCACGATAAACGCTGTGGGTCCACATCATTTTCAACTTAGTATATAACAGCAAGAGTCTCAAGATCGCCCCTCTGTGCCCTCACACCGATCAACTCGCAATGACAGTGCCTGCTTCTCCCTCCAACAACATTCATGATCACTACTCCCCGCATTTGGAACGTACTCTCCATGCCATCAATTGGACTGCCCTTGCTGCCCTTGCGGTCAATATTTATCAAGCCAGCACCTTCACTTGGGGGAAACAGCTTCATGGTGCTTCCAATCTCGTTTGTTTCCTCAAGTTATGAAGCAATGAGGATGTTGAAGTTGTGATCTGAGTACCATACGCGCAGGAGCAGGGAACTGACGAGAAGGAGATGGAGCTCTCTAGGCTCGCCATGGAAAGTGAGGGGGCCACCATGGAATATGTTTCCTCGCATAGTCGTATCCCTCTTCCCCACGTCATCGCCCACAATTCGTCGTCAGATGGTGGAGGCGTCGGCTCCCCATATATGATCATGTCAAAAGTGGACAGAACCCCCTTATGTTCAGTTTGGAATGAAATGCAGGACGAACAATGCGAGGTCGTGCTGCGACAGGTTGTCGATATCATCCTCCAGCTTTTGTCTTTGAGATTCGATAGAATTGGTGCCATCTTCAAAGGGGAAGGAGGGACGGACCACTTGCCTTGGACAATCCTTCCCTTGACAAAGATAGATGGTGATGAAGTATGGACAATCTGGCCTGAAGGGGTTGATAAAACTTTCACTAGCGCCTTTGACTATTGGATCGCCTATGCCACCTGCAACATCAAACGGATTGACAGAAAGAACTTTGGGGGTAGGAAAGACTATGAGTATGTTCATGCATGGCTACATCATTCCCTTATCCCTTCATTATACAACACCTCTCTCGACACCAAAGGCTTTCCTATAAACCACTGCAATTTTCATTCACAGAACATTCTTGTAGTTGACATCAACACACCTTCCCCTCGCATTACTGCCGTTCTTGATTGGGACAGCAGTTCAACTGCACCGACATCTTCTTTTGCCAAGTACCCTCTCTTCATCATCGACCATCCATTCTGGGAGGACGATCATCTCCTGAAGCCACGAAATAAGCAGGATCAAGCCATGTTCAACCGCCTGATGCGTGAGGCTGAAGGCAAGCTTGATCCAGATGGTGGACTGCCCCTCACCTGGGCCTTTGAAGTGTCTCATGGGGTGTATCTCTTTGAACAGCTTGTGTCATTTCCATACTGGATGGGCGCTCAACTTTTTTATCCATTCTTTGAGTATTTCTTTGGGGAGAAGGAGACCGACAAAGAGCCTTTTTCATGGATGTACTACTCTACCATGACTAATGGACCATTGAAAGACAAGGCTGATCAGTTCAAGAACGAGACAATTGTACACCAGGAGGCCGTTGAGACGCTGGGAGAAGATTCGGTCGGAAAGATGACAAGATCCCAGTTCAAAGCACTGGCTCTGCAAAACCTCAATAAATTTCCATCTGGAGGTGAAGTTAAGAAGTGGTTGGACTCCAAGTACATGACCAAATAGATTAAAGTAGTATTGCATATCTGTAATGACCTGAACAGAGGGGGGGACTTGGCCTCAGCATGCTCTTGTGCTGTGCCCCTACACATCATCTGGTTGTCCCAATTTACAGGAACTGCCTTGGTCTTGACAGAGGAGAGACAAGAAGAAGTCATCCTGGCCAAGGCCCAGGAGACAGAGGATGAACAACAGAGCAGAGGGGATGTCAAGGTTGAGATTCAAGCTGGAGAATCCAGTACACTACCTAGCTACTTATACTATTGAGAACAATGGAGAAGATCTAGGTTATGTAATGAATGCCAGCAGAACAATGACAGAGAACAATAAGGACAATAATGAATAGAACAATGAAGGGAAAGCCCATTGATGAACCAGAACAATGAACAATGGGACAATGGAACAATGGGTTCAGGAATGGGATGTGACAATATCAAGTAATCCAATTTTTGCTCCGCACAATACTTCTGCTGCTTGAGATCTGAGACCAAGAACATTTCCACCGCACATGCAGCAGACTATCCCAGAGCGAATGACACAGAGCATGTCCATTAACATTACATTCAACTAGATATTTTGTCGATTTTGATCGCGACATGGTTAGAGGTAGGTGGGTTCCAGGGGAGGCTCTGCATTCGTCACCAAGTTGATGACAAAGTTGTTGAACCAATCACCTGCCTCAGGAGCTGGGATGTGGGCAACGGGGCTCTGGCAGGTCTCGTTGAACCGCATTGCGTTGGTGTCTGATGTGCCGTCCGGCTCGCCTCCAGGCTTGACCCAAACGATCGAATCGACGTAGGTGTTATTGAGAATGGCTTGATCAGTGGTAGGGTGTGTGCCAAAGCCTGCGTTACAAATATTGCACCACTGCGACCACGACGTGCGGATGGCACTTCTGCCTGAATGACCTTGGTCGACGATGAAGTGCGCAGGGTAGCCGTTCTCTTCTAGGTGCGGCACGAGCGAGTTCATGTAGTGCCACTTGTCCCAGCTGTTGCTGAACTCGGTGTAGTTTTCGTGCGCCACAGCTATGTACTGGTTGTAGTTGGAGACGTTAATCGCGAGGCCACAGACAGTGGTGGTGGGGACAAGTTTCTTTGCGCCTTCAAGAACCTTGGTGAATAGGGCAGCAGCGGGGCCGAGGTTGTCATCCCACCCCAACCAACCACCGTGAGCGGCATCGATGTAGAGTGCGACGTTTGGGATCTGCAGTTTGGCGATAGCGTACGCAATGCCCTCCTTATACGCGTCGGCGGCTCCAGCACACTTGGGGACATCCAGGTTGGTGACGATGTTGCCGAGCGAGTTGGGCTCAATGACGAGAGCAAAGCTGAGTTGCTGCGCTGACTCAGTTTGCAATTCTGTGGCAATATCTTCAGGAAAATACTAGACAGAGGGAACTTCAAACAGGAAGAAAGGCTTACCATTGATATACTTCTTGTACTTGTTCAGCCCGTCATCTGCCAGGACAAGCTCTCCAGCAGAGGCTTTTGCAGAGCAATTGTGATCGGGCAAATTGTAGACAGCTATTTGAAGGAGTTGCTTCTCGCCTGTCACTGTTTGAGCCTCGAGGGTGTCACTAATAAGACCTGGAATATCTGCAATCTAGGGCTTAAGGTGAACATTTGGTCTGGGTGCCTGCAGAGACACGACTTATGTTCTTGATTTCCGAAATCCAAGTGAAGGTGGGGATTTTCTGCACTGTGTGTGTCCTAGCAGCATTCAAGGAATCACCCTGTTCATTGAAATAGGCAATGGTCTCCTCGAGTTTCAGCGCATATCCCTTGTTAGCGAAGGGGGTCTTGCCAATGTAAGGGTTTGCATCAGATGTGTCACTGGGTGCTGCCAGAACAGCAGATGCAAGGGCCAAAGCATAGGAGAGTGCCTTGAAGTAGTGCATCTTGCAATATGCTGACAAGAGAACTAGAGAAGAAAGCGTCGACAGGGAATGCGATGATGAGGATAGACCCCGAAAGCGAGCCGTCTTTATAGACCTTGGCCACTAGACCCTTCCGAAGCATGATGGGCTTCTTCAACCTAACATTCGGTGAATATATGTACATGATGTCGGCCAGTTCCAGTGCTGGTCATGTATGATTGTATCGCGCACAGGAAACAACATAGAGAATCCTGTCATGAAGTGCCCTGAAAGGTTCCAGACAATTTGTTGCGCTGTCGAGATTCCTTATTGCTCAAACCTAATTAGGCCTGACTCTGTGATTCCAAAACATGAAAACCCAGCATATTGAAGCATATTAAATGTGTCTGTCACTCATGATTCAAGCTTGAAGCCTGTATGTAGTCGAGTTGCAGCGCACTGAGATATAGAAGACTAACCATGTCCAGGAACTTGACTCTGAGTCTTTCTTTCGTCTGTTCAGGGAGCTGAGACTTGATCTTTGTTGGAAGAATTTCTACGCTGCGAATTTGTGAATGACACATGCGAGAAGCAGAGCACATGGGAGAGAAGAGAAAAGGAAGCACTCGAGCTTGTGACTGCCAAGACAATCAACATTAGAGAGTTTGTGCAACAGCCACAGAGAGCCACAGAGCCACCCCGTGGCTGATTTTCGTTGTGCATGACCATGTAGCCACAGGTTTGCAGAGGTAGCTCTACCCAAAGCTTTCCTTGATAGTCTCCCATTTTAACAAAAATATATTATGGACATTGAGGCTTAGTATTGGCAAAGAAAACTCAGACCCCGCCAGTGTAGAGGAGGGAGAACTGATGTCTCACCCCGGAGCCATGGGTGGCTCGGCCTGAGGAAAAAAGTTTGTCTCTTTGAACCACGCTCCCTTGCACATTTCTTTGGATACTGTCAAGTACCCTTTCAGGAGTCCAACATGTGTTGCTAGTATAGTACTTATGTCTATAGAAATTCACTGTCCACTGAAGGAAGGAGCAGCACAATGAAATTCAGCCACGGTGTGGCGCTGTGGCTGATGCACAAACTCTCTATTATCGCCAAGGGGAAGTCTCGAGGTCGTCGACCCCATTTCATGCACCAGTCCATAAGCTGCCACGTCTTATAAAGTTGAAAGTTTTTTTTAGTCAATCTCTGACAGCACCAGTAATAGTCCTCCTATGCCAGTGAGACCAACAGATTCATAAATTAGTAGATCTATGGTGATGGAATCTTTGATTTGTCTGCGAAGGTTGTTGGCCGCGTCTTTTAGTTGCAATGTCCACAACGAGGTAGCATTTGATTATTTGCTAGTGAGACACCACTGTCGCTACGTTTCAACAATTCTGCCTCCAGGGCATCGAAGAGAGAACCCCAATAGCAGCATGGCATATGCAGGCTCATAAAATTTATTCTGGGTATGTATCAAGGGACAAATATTGAGAGCTTCCCACCTATTCTATGTATGTAACCTGAAGACCCCAATTATCCGTGTATATGTATTTGAATGCGGCGAGATAGCCCCGCAAGTGGGCTGCTGACCAACTGCTGGCGGCTCCTTACGCACGTTCGTCGCAGGGGCTCTCATGGCCAAGTGTCTCTAGAAGAAAGGCGTAATGTAGAAGACTGAAGGGTAGAAACTTCTAATATTTTGACCTGTAGAAACGCAATTGCTTCGCAAGCACCGTTTTCCCGAGGAGTCTCCGTCGATGGGAAAGCCAGGGTTCTGCCCGAAGAACGGATTTATCAAGGGGCTACGTACGCTCGAATCTCCGAGCAATTCCGCCAGGACCCTTTCCAAGTGGTTAAAACGAGTTCAGGAGTAATTTATTTTCAGAGGCCACCAGGTGTTAACGCCCATTGGGGTACGTCGGGCCTGATTAACGATGGGCGCTTAATTGTCATCATGGAACAAAGCTCATTTACTGTCCGCCATTCATGATATAGGATCGACGATTCCTGACGAAGTTCATGAACTAGGACTAAAATACAGTGGGCCTTGGCAACTTCTAACGCTGGCAAGAACTTCACCAGGTCGTCGGTCTTAAGCAGATGAGTTTACCTTCGAATCAGCTAGAGGACTGATAGCCAACGTACCCAAATTTCTTCCCTGGTTCCAGAGTGCGCACTGGTGTTCCGGCGAAGTCTGCACCGACAAATGGGACCGTGTTTCTGTTCGAACGGCAATTCAGTGAATAAAATACAACAAAAGGGAACAAATAACTCACCCCCACCAGTTGAGGATGCTCGTCTCCCCAATCTAGAGTATGTATTGCGTACATAATTAGTTGTCATGTTCTGATCAGAATCAGAGGTCCTTAGAAATAACGTACCGTGCCATTTTTTGGGAATTGCAGAGCGAAGAAAATCACAAGAATCGAAATGGCGAGTCCAGAATCAAGAGCGGCGGATAGAACGTCTTCGGCTTCCGGATTAACCGCTGTAGAAGAGTGGCCTGAGATAAAACGTACAGTTGTACTTGGTCCACCAAGAGAAATGCCGTCTGACAATTGCATCAACACTCTGAAAACAGCATGCAGCTCCTTCGTGCCCACCTTCTGATCAGATATTGGAAGATGAATCCGACTCCGCTGCAGAGGTCAGAACGGTCAGCTTAAACAAAAGCTTCTGAAAGCACAACGACGCACGCCCAAGGAATATAGTTGACAGCGGTGGCAGGAGGGATAAGTCCTGTTCCATTAAAAATCACCGGCCTTTCGTTTCGCAATTAGCCTCAGGAACTTGCCCCATATTCGGGACAAAGAACTTACGTGCTAACGGCAGGTTCAGCAGTGGAATCGCTGGATAAAATCAGATTGCTTACTTGATATATTTCAAGAGGCTGTTTGGATATCTCTTGCCCAACGCCCACGGGATGACGGGAGCAATTGCGCCGACTAGGAAAAAGAACACGAGCGGACTACACCAATCGATAAGTAACAATACCAAGAGACCAGCCTGGGGCGGAAACCTCACTAGTACGTCTGTCCCTTTGAGAACTGAAGAGCTGGCCCGATGACCCCTGGTCGAAAGGGCGTGAATCTCCCCACGCAGAATAGGACCTAATGGAAACGCACCCCACTACATAGAGTTGCGTTAGAAATTGAAAAGCCAGCAGAGTCGGACGATAAAAGTCTCACAATTATACTTGCAGTACCGAATACCTCAGTACTGGGGCAGATAAATCCGTCTCGCTGGTCCGGAGAGCACATATCACTAGCATATGATCAATGTCAATACTCTCCAGAAATCGCAGAAATCTGACTGACGGGATATTCGTGAACATCCAGGCCTGCACCCCGAGCTGAACCGTCCCTGCAACAACTGTGGCTACGACCTGGCTCCAGAACATGGGCCTGGGTGCGATCTTCATATAGTGGCCGAGCTTGAAATCTGAGGTGAAAGTCAACGCTTGGGCCATCGCCTGCACATCCGTCAGCTTGGAGTCGGAGTAACGATAAATAGGCTCCGACAATGTAACCCCAAGTCTTGAACATCATCATGGCAATTGGCCTTCCAGGAAGTGCATACCCGATAATTAATTCGGTGATAACGCTATACGACTCGCGTCAAAACAGGTCTATCTATCTCAAAGATAAATCATCAACTCACTTGAGTCCGACTTGCTGGTTAGTGATAGCCTGAACCATTCCGATGGGAATGACGTAGGTGAAAGCTGCCCGCTCCTGGTCAGAGAGGATCACTGGCTGTTAAGAAAAGAATACCAATCAGGAGGGCGAGGACGAACGCCCAGACAGGCATTTCACTGATAGAGTCAGACTGCGTCATGCGCACGGTAGCTTAAGACTTACGTCGGCCAGACTTCAATGCTTATAATACCGATTGTGAACATGCTCAAGAAGATGGTGAGATACCACCATTCTGGAACTACACAGTTTCGTTAGAAACTCCAACATTGTCCATTCGAAAACGCGACTCAAATACCTTGAAGATATTTGGACATGAGCCTGGCATGAATATCGGGCTGCTCGTGCAATGAACGGCGAGCTTGGACCCATATCTGCTTGCGGAAGTACAGGAAAGCATGCATAAGGGTGGCTGAACAGGGACAACGGTTAGCCGTACTCTTCCATTCAGCAAGAACAAAGACAAGCCGGTGATCGAGGCAAACGAAAGTCCGTATGAAATCGCAAACGTCGTCCTAAGCAGTATCAGCGGAAACCTAATTTAGAGTTACCGATGACTTACGAAAGGAAGAGAGGGCTATACGCCTTGTATGCTGCGAGATCAAAGGTAGAATCGGGAGTCAATATCCGATTCACATTATAATTTTTCGCTTGATTGTCGTAAGAAATTCTCGAGGAAATTCTAGTCCTTTTATTATTCGAAGGGACAGATTTACGAACGGAGATGCGTACGGCATGTCTTCGCCAAACCAAGTGTTGGTAAACTTGACGGTGTGAGGACGGAATGTAGTGACAACGACAGGCAATGTAGACGCACGTGCAATACCGGCGTCAAGAACCCTATGATTCCAAAGTGATATTCTTATTTTAAAAATGCCCGAAAGACGATCGAAAGACGTACAAAAGAAGAAAACGAAGCCGGCGAAAATATTCGCTTCAGCCCACCAAGGAGTAGCAAGGGGTGAACCGATGTACCTAAGCATAGAAATATGAAGGTTACATCCCGATGAGGAGAGAGAGAATACGCGTACGCGATCTGGCTCCAGTCGAAAGTTATGACTGACATTCCCATTCCATGGACATATCTATCATGGGGGTTCGTGCGACAACACGGTCCAAGTTTGCAAGAACAACGTACCCAAACAACTGTGAGATAGCTGAAGCAGGATGAGTTTCGGGTAGAATAATAATCACTACGAAAGCTTACTGGTGTTCTCAGGGCGAATCCAGGTAACCCATGAGAAATAGGACAGAGCCTGGACTGTCGAATGGAGATATGAGATAAGATAACGATGGAGTGTGGCGCAGATGTACAAATATATCCTGGGAAGAAATCTAAGGGTTTCATTAGACGATAAGCCAGGATTCGGAGTCGGGAGAATCTCTACTCACACCACACGAATGCACAGGTAAAGGCATACACGAAAAATCTCTCGCGGCTGAGCCCTCCTCGATTTCCGATACCCGCGTATTGTTGGGAATGTAAGGTGTTGAACAAGGCACAGTTCACGAGGTTTGCAGGCCAGATCATGGATGGTGGGGCGACAAGGAAACGACGGGCGACTCCTCCAATGGAGAATCCTATGAGCTGAGTCGACATCACGACGAACCATTGATCTTTAAATGATCAGCAGACATCTGGTAAGTGGAGAAAGACCAAGTGCTCACAGCTGAAGTTATAAATCTGGTTGTAGTAAACCCTTTGGACCGCAACGATGTCAGTCGCATATGCGGACCCTGCCCCAACCGAGGCCTGTGCGTTGATCAGCGGGGTGCATTTTGTTCAAGAAAGCCAAACAGCTTGACCATGATCTGCAAGACATCCATATTATTAAGAGTACGCGACAAGACCATCATCAACGCACGGTAATAAGCACATGTTCCTTGACAGTGAACGGCCCCGGGTTAATCGAAATGCCAAATATTTTCCAGTTGGGAAGCCAGGCTGCGAAAGCACGTCCAATAGGGAATGAGAGCAGCTGCGCCACGATGCCGCTCATAGTGATCGACGGGAACCGGAAGAAGAAAAACTGGTTGAGGCCCGGAATGATAATGGCCGCAGCTATGCCGATCACCCATACCCGCAGAGTCATCTGGGGCATGTCGAAGTCATCGGTGTTTGCAACGGCAGAGCGGACTTCGGGATAGGGACTCTCGTCGTCGAAGGAAACGATATGTTCCTTGTCCAAGTTCGGGTCATCGAACTGCGCTCCGGTGAGTTCCTGTATGGATTAATTTTGGGTTTGAAAAAGGGGATATCGTTTGGAATCGGAAGGGCTGGCCAATACATACCGCAATCTCAGACTCTGAAATCACCTTTGAGGAAGGAATACAAATTAGGGCAGGGTTTGCTTACCATTGAGAATCTTGAGCTCAACCTTCTCAACGTCTGGGCTCGGAGAGTTATCCTGGCGGGGCGTAGATTGAGGCGTGTCTTCAGCCATTGTATGGGCGAACGGGCGATGCACAGAGAGGGGTACCTTGCGGGTGACACCCATCTTATGACGAACCCACACGGGCTTGCGCGGGTGGACATCGTAGGTAGGCCCATGCGATAAGCCCCTTCCTTCCACATGCTCAGCTGAGAACCAATTTAGACAGACATCCTCGCAGTGGGGCTCAAAAAACGGCGACTGAAAGCACACCAGTGGATTTGCGGTCGTTCCGAGTGCCAGATTTGCCGATGTGAGTTTCGTCTGTATTTCCGGTGAGCCATCGGGGGCGATCGGAAAGTTATTTTTATCGGTTCTCACTGAGGTTATTAAGGGGTCTGCTGAAATTGAACCTGAAATTGAACCTGAGCGAGCACGATACGAGATCGAACGCGCAGCATCGAGTCTGACACCTAGAGGAGAAATATTCGCGGTACAAGGTACGAGATTCGAAGAATTCATACCTTAGGAGAAATGCAAGGAACAGCTATATCCACTCGAAATTCAACAGGCGCCAACGCCGCTGTCGAGTATTTACGGGCCCTGTCTGCCTGGCGTAGACTCATGAGAATATTTCGTCATGATCTCCGTGGATTAGAACCTTGTGAGCGCCTGAGATGTTAAGCGAGGACAGTTGATAGGCGTGTTCATGGACGCTTACTTTGCCTGTCCCTCCCTTTCAAGAATAAATTCAATTGAGAGCAACGTTGAAGCACTTGTCTGGACAATGGCTTATAACAAAGGACAGACTGCGCAGTAGCACGAACAGGTCTTCCTCATGCACCCGTGGGCGGCGTCCACGCGTTGACCTAGACAGAAGGAAATAATGAGAGGGTTCAGCGAAGGAAGGAACCAGCTCACACGATATAAATAGCATACAACTGCACAAAATTATAATTACGGAGGCGCAACCTTCCTGGAACAATTCCAGAACAATTCATGGGCATGCTTGTCACCAATAAGCGTCATCTGAAATTGGTGCCCGATACTGACCGGACTACAGAATGAACTATGAGTTCTCCGAGTCAATTCGCCACGGGTAATCCGCGTTCTTCTTCTGGTGAGGTAGTTCTTATTTTGCAACAAGAGACCACGCGCTCATGGGATAAAGCTCCTTCTGAGAAAGAGTCAAAATCTCGCAGAAACTTGCATTAGCTGTCGCGTCCGAACAGGAGAAAGGAGACAAAAAAACACTGATATTCATTGCCTAATCTTTGCGTTAATTTAGTGGGGAAGTTCCTGAGGGGTAAAAAGGACACACACCATCATGAACTGAAGCAGCCACCGTTGCTGCGCCAGCTATCAAGGCAGTTACACGAACTTGACACAAGGGACCTAGGGGATTGACGATAACATAGTTGTGGCAATTCTGTGTCCTTTAACTGCTTTCCGAGGTCTCAAGATCTTGAAGGATGCCATTGGTGAGACGATCTTTCCACTTGCTGCCCGTGCCTTTCCCAACCATGACGTCGCTCGTGGAGACCTTTCTTTGCACCACAAGGCTCGGAACGACAGAATAGCTTTTGAGTCTCCCACTTTCAACGAGCCAAGCGATAGCCTGGTCGATGGCACGCGAGAAGGCGAACGGCGGGTAACGGAGATGCACGAGGAGACGCCGAGCACCTTTGCGTGAGACTGCATATGCGTGCGTGCACTTCGGGCTGACAGATTTGTGGATGCGGGCGTAGTGGTGTTCAGCCAGAGCCAGCGGTGGATGGAGAGCCTCGTTTGACCAGCAATGCCCTAGATAACGGGGGTAAGTCTCCTGGATGAGGACGAGCAGATGGGTTCCTACCTAAAAATACGATGTCCCAATCTGGAGGAAGGTTCGGCCAGATGTGCCGAAGGTGGGCATGGATATCCCTTTCCATGTCGATGTCGTCCTCCAGGATGATAGATACGGAATCGCCGCTATTAGCTATCTTCTGTATAACGCATAGGTGAGAGTACCAGCAAGCAACCCGAGAAGGCGTGAGAATGAGATGCTCCGGAAGCTTCGATGCGTTGGATGCGATAGTAAAATCTTGGGTGGCAGATGCCAGAGGCTGGAGAGACGAAGAGATAGGAACACCGAACAGAGAGGGCCAGGGATCCACGTTCCAGAAATCAAGCTCGTTCATCGTTTCAGCATCTTCAGGCCAAGAGAAAGATGTCTTGTCAGGCGAGGGAGAATCATCGCTGCGGGTGAGATAAGGCGGTCGATTGCGCACCAAAGTTATCCATTGCATCATAATTCCAACGAGAGGGTTTGCCGATGGTAGAGCGTCAACATAGGTCCAACTTAGGTTCAGGGACAGCCGTATTTTCTCCATGTCTTTTCGTCGGTCATGTCGCGCCGGCAGTGAGATAACGTAGATAGCATCTGCCACACCAAGCCCAAGGCTAGAATCCGTATCGGTTTGATGAATATTGTTGTTCGCATTTTGCCAGAAAGGCAGCAATACGAAGAACCCAAAAGCTACCAGAAGAAGCAAGACAGATCGTCGCGCTATAAGGCAAGGGATTTTTACAGGCATTGCAGCAAAACTTGAGATAACTGAGAGAGGGAGAGGAGAGAAAGAAGTGAGCGGCGGATGGGTGGTTGCACCAAACATGCCGGCGGCGCGACTTGAACTCAGTCCTGACAATTAAGTCTCCGCCTCAAATTATTGTGCCTTCCCGGTCGCAAGAACTCGTCGTGTCTCCTCGCTCTGTCGTTCGACAACTCTGTGCACAATACCAACGAAGTTTATCAACATGGATCACGCGAACTTCTCAGCAAAGTTGGAGCCCTTCTTGTTGATGTCCAAGTCGGTCAAAGGGGCTGCAGCAGCCAAACTGATTCAAGATGCCACTGCTGCACCAGGAGTCTTCGTATTTTCAGAGTTGCTAGAACTTCCCAACATTCAGGAGGTGAATCTACTTCTTTTATAGCGCCTCGGTTTCTCTTACCCTATATGCTAGCTGGGAAAAAGCGAACAACACCGAAAGTTCCTGACATTGCTCCAACTCTTTGCATTCAAGACTTATCAAGATCATCTTCGTACGCTTCCTCTCTTCCAGTTTAATTCCTCTTATTGAACGAAGCAGAACACAAGGATGCTCTACCACCCCTGAATCAAGCTCAAATCATCAAGCTGAAGTATCTAACAATCGTTTCACTAGCTGCTGAGAGACGGGTGAGTTCTTTTGCCGCATACCATCCTTCTTCTGCTGATGAGCCCTCTTAGATCCTTCCTTATGCAGACTTGCTCAAGGCCCTTGATATCTCAAGTGTTCGCGAACTCGAAGATCTCATCATTGACGCCATTA